CCTTTCTATTTAAACCATGTGTCTCCTTTTAAAGAAAATAATAAAAACTTGATTGTTACTCTGAACTTCAAGCTGTAACCAGAAATGAAAAAAGTTAACTTCATCTAATACTGAAATGGCATTTTTTTTAGTTGTAGATTCCTGTTTATTGACTGAGAGTCAAAGAAATCAGATTTTTGAGTACAGCAATTTAAAAACCTTCTGACAGTTTCAGAACAAAATAGATTTCAAGTAAAAAAAAAGATTCTATTACCTTCCAAAACTCTTTATATTCTAAGGTCTTGCTTAGATATAATCATTTGGCACTATTTAAATAGACTGGTCCACTTATAAAACAATAGGGAAAATGTTTTTGAAAAAATCTTTTGTAGATTAGCATTTTTTTTAGAACTTCCTTAAACCACACCAATTGAAAAATATTAATTTGTTATCAATTTTATCCTGTTTATAATATCAATACAGTGTTAAATTGATCCCTGACTTTTACAGAATGATTGGACTTAGACAAAATCATTCAGCTTTTTGAAAATATGTTAAAATCATTGATATCTGCATATTTATTAAGTTTCTGAATTTTTAAACTTTTTATTTTTTAACTTTTTTTTTTGTATTGATTTTTTTGGGAGACACAAACATTTATGATTGACAAATATTTATCTTTTAATTATTTATATATATATATATATATATATATATATATATATATATATATATATATATATATATATATATATATAAACAGAGGATGTCTGTGTGTCTGATACCTTTTCATTCAAGATCCATCCAACTGATTTAACCAAACTTCACACATTGTACAATGTAAGAAATAGGTTCTTCACATAAAAAATCAATAATTTTTTTAAAAATCAATAAATTCAACTTTTTTCCTCTGATTACATTCAAACTAGGTATGTAGGTTACTTACATCATGACAAGCTCAATGATACCTCATTTTTTATTTCTATGACACTGCATTTAGTGAAAAATGAAAAATCAATTTCAACACAAACTTTAAACTAAAAACTCCCTCAATTTTCAAGCAATCTAATACAAACTTCACTCAATTGTAGCCAACAATAAGTTGATTGCTTAACACTCATTTAACTTGATAATTGAGTCCAATATAGTGAAAACCATGTAAATAAAAGAAAAATGGTGATTTTTTTACTGTTTTCTTTCTTATTTTTCATTGATCTTTCAAGCAATTTTCATCAAATTTAACAATTGCTTTATAAATATATCCTCTTTTACATCCCTGGTAGCACATTGACAAATTGAATTTCAAAAATTCCAAAATAATTGTGGTCTGAAGTGGGTTTTCATGTTGCCTGTTTTACCCCTTCATGTCCTTGGCTAACTTTGATTGAATAAATACAAACTGTTTCTGTTATATCGGTAACTGCATTAATTCAAAATATTTTTTAATGAAAGTACTTTAAACTAATTCAAGAAGATAGACTCTGTTACATCTAAACATGTTGATGTTTTTGAACGCTTTTTCTGATCGACCCACTGGATATGGCTGCCAGTCAAGAATATTTAAAAATGGATGCACAATTTATTAATTGATGCAAATTTTTGTTTTTTACTTAAAACTGTATATATCCATTTGTTTGTGATTTAACAGAAATCTTTTTGTAACCCCACCTAAAAAAAAAAAAAAAAAAAGTTTCATATGCAGCCAGGACTAATAACCCTGTAAAAGTCAGGGATCAATTTGACACTGTAGTGATAATATAAACAGAACCTCACTTCTAAATTGATAACAAATCAATATTTTTGAGCCTCAAAAATGTTGACATGTAAAAAAGGTCTCTAGAATGCTAATCTACAAAAATTAATTCTCCCTGCCACCATTTTTTTTTATTGTCTATGAGTGTACCACTGTATTTAAGTAGTACCAATAATTTAAGCATACACCTTTCTTCAAAGTAAACTGGGCAGATTTATTCATATAGAAAATAAAGAGCCTACAATTTATTCAAATACAGTTCATATAAAACATGAGAAATAATTGGTGGTAGAAGAAATGATATCTCATATGACAGATTGTTAAAATCAGGCAAAATGAGTGGAGAAAATGATTATAAGGTTACTTAAAAGTTTAGGCATTTCTATAGAAACACTCTTCTCCAAAAAAAATAATCTCTCATCAAATTTTTATATTCATACCAATTGATGACAAACATACATATAAAAAAATATTTTAAATGTAAAAAAAATATTTAAGAACTGGATTCAGTTTGCTATATAAATTCATTATAAATTGATCTCACTATACAAGCTCATCCAATCACCACTAAAAAATAAAGGTTAAGGGAAATATTTTATAAAAGGAAATGGCAAGTAAAAATATACTTCAAATTAATATTTGGCAGCTGCTTTGCAATTATTTGAAATTTTCTATGTAAAGTAAATAAAAATATGCTTTAAAGTGTGTAAATATTATTTTTTTTATATTAATATGAAATTATTGACAATTTTGTGAGTAAGAAAATTTATCATGTCATAAGAATGTTATGGGGATGAGTAACATAGGGGAATCAATTTACCATGAATTTATATGTCAAACAGACCCTTCCATTAAAATTTAGAAAATTTTAAAAAAAAAATTACATTAATGATCTGCAGTGGTTATTCAATATTAATATAATTTTTTTTTTTAAATTCTTTCTTGAATAGATGCATTCCTGTAAAAATGCTAAAACTTTGTCTGATGATAAGGAATAATAGTTCCAAAATTAAACCCTAAAAAAGCCAAGCATATTTTTAACTGAAAATTTTTAAATTGTAAAAATACCAAAAAAAAAAATCTTATAAATTAAGATTTAATTTAAATCCTTATTTTGGGGTATTTTTAAAAAAAATAATTTTCAACAAACAATGTAATAAATTTTCAGTCAAGATGTGTGTGTGTGTGTTTTTTTTTTTTCTACATGATTCTAATTGTATGAATATTTTGTTCCTATTGGTTTTGTATCGGAAATAACCACACAAGCATTCTGGTTGGAGTTTTCTCCCCTGTCTTTGAAAAACGTCCATGTTAATTTAATCTGTAATGATCAGAAATATGTTATTTATCAATACCGCTGAATGTAAAATTTAAGAACCATTCTTCAGATGCGGCTTTGGTTGGTTGGTTGTTTTATTTTATTTTATTTTTATTTTTTTTTTTTTTTAAGATTAAATTTCATTTTTGTTTTAAATTTAATTTTTTTCCTTTCTGAATACTTATTATCACTTTTTAGTAATAGTGAAAAGCCAGTGTTATAAAACTGTTTTAGAAATTTCCCAGTCTCAAACATCTGAAGAATGAAGAAAATCAAACAAAAATTTAAGAATTTTAATAAATTGTTTCATTTGCCACAGTCATCATGATCCTGCCCTTCCATAATCTTTTGTACATCATATCTTTCACCTACTGTTTATTCTTTACAAGTCTAATTAATGCATTTCATGTTCTTTATGTAATTTGTTGGCAGTAAAAGAAACAATAATGTTTTCCAATGTTTTTAAAGTCTTGCTACTTTTCTTGGGAAATATTTCAATGGTGAAAAGATGCCCAAATCAAAAAGCATTTCCTGCTTTACAATTGTGGGGATTTTAAAAAAAAATCTTTGGGATCATAAATCAATGATATTTAATTACTTAAAAAATCCTAATGGGTTGGAACAAATGTCTTTAGTTTTTTCAATAGTTGGCAATTGAACACATGATTTTGTTTCACATGACAGATTTATGACATGACATATTCTGAAAGGTTACATTCTAATGTGTCTTTTTGTGCAATTTGTGTGTGAATTTTGAATTTTATATGTTTTTTCTGTTAAAAGTGAAAATTGAGGAAAATTACATGCATTTTCATCATTTGATACTTTTATTTCCAGAAGGAAAACATTGCTGTAAAAATAGCAAAAAAAGATATAGGCCATTTAAGGGGATGGTGCCATAGCTGAGAGTACTGTTTGTAAGCGGTTCACTAGGTTCAGAAGTGAAAATTTTGATCCTGAAGACATAACATTCCAGCTGACTTGCAGCCATTGATGATGACCAAACGAAAAAGCTGATTAAAAAGATAATCCTTGTTACATGAGCAGCTATTTCTTATGAGCATTGTAATGCATTTAAAAACATTTGCATGCATCATTCGCTATGATGTTTAAGTGCCTCACAAATTAATGGGAAAAAAATTTAACAGATTGCATTTCCATCTTTGATTCACTGCTCAAACACAACAGAAATACCCCATTTTTGAAAAAAAAAAAATCACAAGTGATGAAAAATGGATTGTTTACAACAATGTGAAGTGAAAGAAAGTTCCAGAGAAAATGAAAGGAGTCACTATTGATGACTCCAAAAGTCAGTCTGCATCCAAAGGTGATGCTGTGTAGCTTTTTTGATTGATTGATTTCTACGGCTTATCAACCCTTTTACAGGTTATTTAAAACCAGAAAATATTTTTAGATTGTAAGAATTTTTCTTTCTTTTGGAGATAATAAAGGTTTATTGATACAAATCTTACTAATTAGCCCATAGCTGGGGCGGGGGGGCAAGAGACCAACTCTTCTTAGGTCAAATGACCATGATGGATATTAAATTCTGTTCGGACTCTGGTATTTCCTGGCATGAATCACATACTACACAAGTACTTTACCATAAAAAACACCTGAACAATATAAAGGTGATTTTAAACCCGTAAATACTACAGCAATTTGAAACACTTGCAAAGTCCCACATAAAATGGCTGAAAGAACTATAGTCGATTGATTCATTTTCTATAACTTATAAACCATTTGCAGATTATTTAAAGCTAGAAAATAATTTTAGATTGAAAGAAAGCTTTACTAATTAACCCATAGCTGGGGAAGAAGAGGTGAATTCATATCTTTCCTAGGGGTATTTGTACATAAGTGAATATAACGGACCCAACAGGAATTGAAACTCAGCTCTCCAATTAACAATTTGTAACCATTATCCATTACACCACCCACATATCCAAGCTTACACCACCTGGTATTCACCAGTGGTAACCCATCTAGGTACTGACCAGGCTCAATGTTGCTTAACTTCTGTGATCATACGATGTTTCAGTGTGATGTGGCCATAAGGCATGCTGTGTAGCGGGTGAGATTGAAAAGGCATTGTGTATTACAAGCTCCTTCTGTGAAATTAAATGTTGAATTTGGCCAGGTACTGTTCCCAATCAATGAAAAGCATCTGAAATTGGCCAATCAGAAAGGTTCTCACCTTCCATCAGGACAATACCAGACTTCACCTCTTTACAGAACTAGCAGAAATTGGTCCAACTTGGCTGGAGTGTCCTACCTCCACACCATACTCACCTAACCTTGCACCTTCATATTACCACTTATTTCAATCCCTAACAAATTAATTCTCTGAAAGCCTGTAAAAACCATTTAGATCATTTCCTCAGTCAGAAAGATTCCAAGTTCTGGGAGGATGAAATCATGAAGTTGCCTCAAAGATGGTGAAAGGTAATGGAACAAAATGGTGCATGTGTGGTTGAATAAATCTATTTACAAATATTTAAATATTGTTTCAGAAATTTGCTTTGTTTTAATCTGATGAAATTTCATTCTGATTAAGCCAGTGTATATTAATCAGAATTCCATGAGATTTTCTAATTTTCAAAGCCAAGCATTACAGACTCTTTCCTTCTTAAAAGAAACTAATATTGTATGCAAGTCTTATGAAAATTATACAAGTTTCCATGTAAAATATAACATTTGTTGACTATTATGATAAAAATCAGAAATACTCCTTGCTATAATAAGCTTTAATCAACACATTTCATTAGATATATTTAAAACAAAATAAACATAAATTATATATGTTCTAAACCAGGTGTGCACAAAATATGGCTCAGGAACCATGTGCTGTCTGTGAGGCTACCTTGTGTTGCCCATGAAGGGTTTTTTAAAATAGTAAATTTTTATGTGTTCATCATTCTATGACTGATCACATACTAAAAAAAAATCAGTTTTGTGGAAGCATAATTTTATTCAACCAATATTTTACTATCTAATTAATTCTTTTAACTCTTCATAAAAAACAAAAAGGAAATAATTTTCTTGCCACCCCCCTCTCTCTCTCATATATATATATATATATTTATTTAAAAATATGAGACCTCTTATGTTGCGAGTTGGAATCATATTTTTAAATAAATAATTATATTTATGCTCTACTTTTGTATCGAGCACTATTTTTTAAAAATAATAACAAAAATACTAAGGAACTTTGGATTATTTACCTAACCAGTTCTTTCCTATTTTCTATATATTTTCACATATATTATAAATTAACTGATTTAAAATATGTTTTTTCGCTACACAGTTCTAACCATGTATCAAAAATGGAAGCTAAAAGCTCCGAATTTAATTTTGTAATTAAATTAAAGACATTAGTTCCATTTCATCCTCAGTTGTGTGTGTAATCTGTTTCTATCTCCCACACACTCAATAATTCATTCTAAAAATTCACTCTTTTTTGATCCATGACTAATTTTCTTAAGTTATTTTGGCCCTTCACATTTTTTGATTGTGTGGCCCTGTTCAGAACTGATGTCTCCATTCTTTGGCTGCTATGGAGAGTTGTGCTCCAGATTCAGTCTTTTAGGAAATATTCTTTTCCATGATTATTGTTTAGCTGATTTAAGATTCTACATCTTCTCTTCTTTAGTGGACCAAACTTAAAATGTTATTGCGAATCATTTGACAAGGGGGATTAAATTATAATGAAAATCAGCAATGCAGTTGATAATCTTTAATCAACTCTTTATTAACATGAATTCAGAAATAAATGAATAGCATATTATGAAAAAAATATATAACAACTGAATAATAAATTACTACCTAAAAATACATAACAACTGAATAATAAATTATTGTCTAAAAATACATAACAAATATTAAAAAAAACACAAAATTACAATTGAATAGAAAAATTAACAAATATTAAAAATAACATAATGAATGAATAGCAAATTACATAAATTATATAAAAATAACACAATAAAAATTTACATAACTTTCCTCAAGAATAATTTGTAACTGAATAATAAATTATATAATGAACTTTAATATTTTCTTTTTACAAAACAGATTTTCAATAATTAAGTTATTTTTAAGATGTGTTATTTTCACAAGGAAAATATTTTTAAAATGTTGTTGAAAGAAAGGGAATGCATTTTTTGCAGGTGAAAATAATTTGGAAAACAGTTTTGTTATGATTCTCCAAACAACCTTGATAACCCCAGCCTTAAAAGAGTGCTATTTACTGGATGATCTGAAAGTAATGCCTCCAATTTATTTTTTTTTTTCACAGGAGTACAATAAACGCCATTAGACAGAGTAAGTTTTCAGTTGTACTACAGAATTTTTTCCAGATAGTCACCCACTATTGTTTCTGCATTTTTAGCCAATAATGAATAAGAATGTGCATGTTGTGTTCGTAAAAATCATCTCCAGTGGAGGCAACTGACTTTTTCACAGCATCAATGATGGCATCATTATCAGAAAAAATGTTATTCATGGAGTCTATCTTTCATCAATCTAAACAGATGAAAATTTGGAAAGGGGCCAAATTCAGTCTGTATGGCTGGAATGGAGAAACAATTTGGCCAAAATTTGTAATGTCATCCATGGACTTCAAATTGATTTGGAGACAGGAATTATTGTGTTTGCCAGCAAAAGGTTGTATTCTCTGGTTTGAATTTTAATCTCTTCAAATCTAGGGTAAACCATTATCTATCCTACATATCCTTTTGCTCCCTCCTTGTATGAACTTATAACAACCTCATTTAGTAGCCATCTATCTTGAGGGAATCTTAGGCCTTATATAGGCTCTACAATACTATTAAGACAAAAATTTCTTTCCACAAGATTTTAGGATTTGAAGTGGGTGAGCATATATGTTTCACCAGAACTATGGCTGATGCTAACTTCCAGAAGAGTGACTCATTGTGCCTTCATAAGATAATGTTTTTCACTGATATGAAATGGAAAGAGTATATTGAAAAAATTGTTAGGTCTGTTGGTAAGAAAGTTGATTTATGGTATCATACTAGACAATTTTTCTTGTCAGAATCTATCTTACACATTTATAACTCTACTGTTCATCCATAGTTTGAATATTGTTGCCATGTTTGGTGTTCCTGCTATGTATTTAGAGATTCTTGATAAAATCCAAAGAAGAATCTACAATGTTATTCATCCTAACCTGGCATCTCAGCTTCAGTCACTTTTCCACCACCATAATGTAATTTTCTTGCTCCTTTTCTATAAATATTTTCATGGTAATTGACCTGATGAACTTTCTTCTTTGGTACCTAGATTTTACTATGAATTTAAGCATATTACTTGATTGACAGATAGGTCTCCTCATTTTACAGTTGAAATGGCTAAATGTAATCATAAGTTCTATGCTAACAGTTTCTTCTCCCACATTTTTCACTTGTGAAACTCTCGGCTTCTTGCTTTCCAGTCAACTTTGATCTTCAGAAATTTAAGTGCAATTACGTTATTTTCTGTCTTCTTAATTCTTGTTCTTTTATTGTTTTTGAGCCTTACTAATAGTTTTCTTTTTTTATATATATTATTTCACACTCAGTAATCCTTTGTGTCTTAGTGGCTTTATTGCTTTGCTTGGGGTGAAATAATTAAAAACGGTTCATGTGACCCAGGAGTGGTTGGCTAATAATTTTCATAATCATGTTGCACTTAGACCTCTTCATTTAAATCCCCCTACAGATTGATCAACCAACAGCCCCACTTTACCAAATTGTGGACATGATGGCCAGTATTAACAAGAATTACCTGACCAGCCTTGAAGTTGCTTCCAAATCTTCATTGAAGTCATCCTCAGAGCTGAGGGTGATTTTATTCAATAACATATTTTTTTTTTGGTTACTCTAAGTTGAACAAATCTACAAACATTTTTGAAAATATATTTATACATGAATATATTTATACATGAACTTTGGACAGTGATTGCTTTTTTTATGAGTGACGGAACTAATTTCAACTCAGAACTAATTTCACCTCAAAATTAATTTCAACTCAATTTCAAATCAAAGTTATCAATTTCTATGAATTACTAAACAAAATGCAATGAGTTAGTGTTAATTTTTTAATTTAACATTAAAAATCCTTAGTAGATAATTCAGAATATCTTTTCTGCAACTTTCATTCTTTTTTGCTGCAAATGAATAAAGTGGTACTTTTTTATTTACTTTTATTCATTTAAATCCGATCCAATTAAAATGCAATGTTCTTTGTAGCAAGAACAGTAGATTGCTTAGCTGTATTTATTTATTTTTTTTTTGTAAAAACTCTCATTCAAAAGAAACCGTTATTGATCAAAATTTAAGAAAATCAATAAATTGCTTTTGCTTTATAATAATAAAAACCCATTAGACTTATAAAGCATAGATCCTTTTCTTAGTCCACAAATTGCAGAATAGTTGAGAGAATTACTGGTACTTGAATTTGAAGTTGACAAAATTGAAGTTGATTAGCTTAGAAAATTTCAGGTGGGAATGAAAATGTCAGGCGGTGGAGCAAAAAGGGTTCAGCAGTCACTGCCAGAAATTAGTTCTGAGTTGAAATTAATTCTGCACCCCTTTTTTACAGCTTATCAACACTTTGTGGGTTATTTAAAGCCAAAACATATTTTAGATTGTAGGTGGTTGCTTACAGTACCTGGTGTTCTGAAACAAGCCCCCATCTAAGTATTGACTGGGCTTGATACTGCTTAACTTCAGTGATTGAATGACAATGGGTGTCTTCACATTGATTTGACCATTAGCAGAATTTCGCTATGTGATGAGGAGAGGGTACTTCATGTTCGACAAGACCTGAGAGAATCATATTGTCTAATGAGGATGATTGCTGAACAAGCAGGACATGTTCTGTTATTTTTTCTGATAAGAAAAGCTTTGACAATGCCCAGATGTTAAACAGGAGGACTGAACAGTGATTTATACCAAACCCACAAAGTTACCCTTTACCAGAGCTGGATTATCCTATAGGTTAGTATAGGTTGCAAGTTAGAGCTCCTAAA